ACTTTTGTGGTCTGTTAAAATGTTTTCCCCCCATATCAGTAGGGGCTTTTCCAGTCATTTTTAACACTTCAACTTTTTGTAATCTGTTTCTGTATTTGTTTTTAGTATATATACAAGAGCAAATAATGCCTTTTCACAGAGGTATGTGGTTGAGAAAAGCAGTAAATATTTCAGTGCTTCTTCTGATATTTCCTTATAATCTTTTTTTACATTTATCTAAAAACTTGACAAGGAAGACTCTTTGAAATTACGTTTCAAAGCTGAATCAGAGGATATTTCTATTAACAATTGATTTTCCTGTACCGTTGTCAGGCCAGTGATATCAGTAACATCTGGGTAGAAAGAGTTATTATTGTCGGGTAACTACTGGAAAATAATCCCGAAGCGAAGACCTCAAAGCGCGGATGTGTTTAATAATTTCGTCTTGTACTTGTGTTGGCTACGTCGCTCCACCAGAGGATTTCAAAAACGCTGCAAGTGTAAGAAAGTGATTACAGTTTTTAAAATTATATCATCAGTCCAATAGTTTTCAAACATTGTTTATATTTTATCTTCACCTTAAAAGATGTTATATTTCCCTTGTAGACCAAAGTTTAGCTCGTTAAGGGCACTAAAGATATCAGCTAAATATGCTGTCATTGTGAGCCATTCAAAATCTCTGAAGTGATCAGCATGTTTATTGATGCCTCCTACAGAATTCTTCAAAAAGAACATTCTGATCTCATCTTGTAGCTCAGAAACAGGCGACACAACTTTGCCACGAAACAACCAACGCACTTCAGCATGCAATAATAACTGTTTGTGAATGCTTCCCATATCTTTACAAATTATACCAAAAATACGAGAATATAGAGGCCTAGCTTGAATGAAATTCACTATCTATCACTAAAATGTAATTTCCAACTTAACACAAAACAGCGCGGGTGGGGGAAGAGAAGCGTAGCGATTACGAGACTTTCGGTGGCATTTGTTTATTAGTGTTAAATGTTCCATAGATAAAACTGCAGACCCCATACATATACTCGCGGACCCCCAGGGGTCCGCGGACCATACGTTAAGTAACACTGTACTACAGCAATATAACAATAACTTCTCTCGAGTAGTATTTACTCCTACATATCTTAAAGAAGAGTTGATCCCATTGCGCCGCCTCTGACCCATTTACAAATCTAAACAATTATGTACCTTCACGTCGCATTCTAACTTGTTATGTATAGACACGCTAGAAAATTACAAGTCTGAATCTGTTGCAGCTTGCTTACAAAAGAGTCACATCTCAGTATCAAAATGAATTAAATACTTGCATTCAAAAGATATTATTTCAAGACAAATTCATTAAGAGCAAACATGACGGGCGCTCCTCCACCAAAAATTAATTTTACATTTGCGGCAGTTAAAAAAAAATGTAAAACAAAATGGTTTAGGCCAATCGTTGTAAAAATGAACCAAGAATTTCGCTAAACCGCGAAAAACTTATATTTTTAAAGAAAAACAACAAAAATTTCAACTTTTTAATAAATTTAATTTAAAACAACAGGAACATGTTAGAGTAGAGTCGGAAAGGCAAATTTGAACTGAAATAGCTGAGCAAAAAAACAGAATTCGTAGCGAAGTTACAGTGTACAGCGTTGAAGCTAAAAACATTGCCTCGTCTTCATCCATAACCGTACCAAGTCACATTTAAATTCCAGTGTCACAAAACCATACTAGCAAGACCTTTAAGCCACCCACGTTTGACGATGCTAAAACATGGGACACATATCGACCATAATTTGAAGCTGCAGCTAGAGCCAATGGCTGGGCCGAGAAAGAGATGGCGGCATCATTGATAGTGTCACTGCGAGGTCAGGCAACAACCGTTTTGTAGTTACTTTTCCAAGAACAATCCAGTTATTTATCTCTCGTCCAAGCTTTGGAGACAATATATGGCCAGCAGCATTTGAAAGAGGTATTCCAAAGCCAGCTAAAAGTTCGTAGTTAGAAACACAAGAATTCGAAGCCGATATTAAAAGAATGCTGCATCTGGCCTATCCACAGGCACTTAAGATTTCTTAGAACAAATCGGCAATGCAAACATTCATTGATGGACTACAGGATGTTGAAATGCAAGAATACGGAACCGGAAAAAGTATATCTAGATCTTCTTGGGCAAAATTAAGAGAAATTAGATTCCAGGAAAGTAAAGAGGCCACTATTATTATTATTATCCCTCAACCTACCCTCTTACAAATCTTAAATAGCCTGCAAAGTATACAACGAAATAGTTAAAATAAGAGCAAAAGACGCTTCAATTCTAGAAGAATCGGACACCTTCATAGAAACTGTCGAAGCTGGACTCGTTCTATAAATCGAGAATCGGAAAATGATATCAAAAATTCACCTAAATCAACCTCCCGAAACCAGTTACGAAGTCCAACAAGAAATAATTACAGCAGATATGTCTCGCATAGAAGCCGACTTTCTAGCAATAACCAGGGAAACGAATGAAGGCTGACACTACGGGGCAGGCATTGGCTCTGACAGAGGACCCCAAAATTCGCACAAAATCTATCGGTCAAGGGGTATATCGATAAACAAGAAGGCACCTTCGTCCTTGATACTGGTACCACCAAGTCTTTCTTTCGAACAGGGATCCCGCATCGAAAACCACGACCAACTCCAAAAAGCTTAGTACTAGAAACAGCTAAAGGGCACACTACTCCTGTTCTAGACGAGATATTAGCAACCGTACCATGATAAAACACTTATTTCTGGTTGCCGATATTAAGAATCAGTGTGTCCTTGATATGGACATTATGCAAAATCGAACTACAAACAAGATCTTGGCAAATGAAAACGAGGAAATTGTCCTAAATTCTAAACAAAATACTCTACCGATAAAGATCCTAGTAGAAAAAGAAATAGAAGTCCCCCAAAATTCTGAAGCTGTCGGCTCGGCGAGACTTACACGTTTTACATGTAGCCATTGTGGAAAGTGAAGAATCTGTGTGTGATGAAATTCTGATAGCTAGATGTCTCGTTAACCTTGATTAACTAATTCCAGTAAGGGTTGCCAATTTATCAAAGAGACCATTCAAACTGAAGAAATGATAAGCAATAGGGCTCTGTACACCGGTGAAAAACAATCAAGTGCGAAGACCGTTTCACGGGGAATGCCACCACAAGTAACTTTGTGAAACAGCTAGTTAAAAATTATGACCAACTGACAGTTGAAGAACTTAGAGAAGTCAAAAAATTTATTAATACTAACTGAGATATTTTCGAGACAGACAAATCTATGGGGCCTACCAGTCTTGTTCAGCATTGAATTTATACATGCAATACAAGGCTAATACGACAAGCACCTAAAAGACTTTTGATAAACAAAAAGAGGTAGCAAATATGATAGAGGACATGATGGATGCAAATATTACTAAAGAAGCTTCTAGTCCCTGGTGCCCACCTGTATTCCCAGTAACTAAGAAAGACGGATCTACTTGTTTATGTGTAGACTATAAAAGATTAAATCAGATAACGCAAAAAGACAGTCATCCACTCTCCCAAATAGACGACACACTAAACACTGTCAGGTGCAAAATGGTTTTCCACGTTAGACTTGAAGAGCGGATACTTTCATGTGGAAGTACATCCTGACGATTAAGATAAAACTGTTTTTTCACTGGCTGCAGATTATACAGATTCCAGGTTCTTCTGTTTGGTCTCTGTAATGGAAAACTCTGACATAATGATCAAGTCAAAAATTTTTGATGAATATAAGTAAATTTGAGTGAAGTATTTGACAGATTAGGAAATGCCAATCTAAGGCTTAATCACAATAAATGTCCACTGTTCCAGTTGGAAGCCTATTATTTGGGACACATCGTTTCCGCAGAAGGAATCAAATCTGACCCGGAGAAAATTGTAACCAAGAGAAAAAAGGGAAATAGGAAGACTTTGGTCAAATAGCTAAACCCTTTCATCGACTAACTGAAAACAGAAGTTTATTTGACTGGACGCCGGATTGTCAACATGTCTCCATCGAGTTAAAAAAACGACTGACCATGGCACTCATCCTAGCGTATAACGAATGTGACCTTTGCAATGGCAGAAAAGGGCCCAAAAAAAGAAGTCAAGGTAAAATGGCACAGTACCTTTCCGGAGAGCCTTTAACGAATCGTCATAGATATCCTTATACCACATCCCTTAACAGAAAGGCGAACAAATACTTGATGGTTGTTATGAATTATTTTTTACAGTGGCCCGAAATAGCGCCTATTCCTAATCAGGAAGCAAAGACAGTAGCGAAAGCATTTTTGATGAACGTCATTCCGAGACACGAAGTCCCCCTGAAATTGCATTCTGATCAAGGACGAAATTTTGAATCCGAATTATGACAAGAATTAATGAAACTGTTAGGCATCAGAAAAACACGTCCTACGCCTCTCCACCCATAGTCGGACAAAATGGTTGAAAAACACAATAGAACGATATGCCAGTATCTTTCAATGTTCGTGTTTGATAAAATCAAAAAGACTGGAACGAATTAGTGCACTTGCCATTCTTTTATAACTCTAAAATTATAATATATAATAATACAAAATTAAAACACATACGATACAGCTATGAATAAATAAAGTCAAAAAAATGTATTAAAATAAAAACCATGGAAAAATCTAAACGAAAACTTTTATTAGACCGATCAGATGTATTAAAATTTTCATTTTAACTACAAATGAGCATTGAAGGATAAGGAATGACTAAAAAGTCTACCTCTTGAACGTGTACTACGTTCTGCAAATTAACTTACTGCACTCCCTTCTTCTCAAGACTATATTTTGTTCTTCTCAAGTGGAGCAGGTACTTTATATATAAAATTTAATGCTACGTAGTAGAGACTTCTTCACAGATAATTAGCATGTACTTCGTTTAAAGTGAACATTTATTTGCGCTTATACCGTAGTACCCCTTTTGGAGGATGGCTATTATTAACAAGTGGTAGAATAGAGTGGTAGTTTTCTCACCTGTCCAGTCAAATATACCATCGTCAGGATAACCCCTTCTGAAGTACAAATCTCTAAATAGTTTCCTTAGATAATCATAATCGGGAGATTCTGAAAACTCCAACTTCCTTACGTATCTCAAGTAAGTTGCCCACTCTTCCGGTTGTCCTTCGCAGAGACTTTCCACGGAGGTCGCTCGTTTAGTTTCACCAATTTTTTGATACCTCTCCTAAAACATTTATCTTTTAAACTTATTGATAACTTTCACTATTGAAAAATCAGAATAAATGAATGAAATTAGCCGACCAAATTATTTCTATAAGAAAAAAATAGAAGATGAAAAACAAAACATAGTTTTGAAAATTTTAGTCAACTATTCTACAAAACAATTTTTCTAAAGTAGGCTATGCTCGACAAACGAGTCATGTTTGAGATAATTGATCACGATTTTACCATTAATTTTAAAATTAGAATACTTTACGCTCAGACATGCGTGATTTTTTCAATGATCTACATCAGAAATAGTTTGATGATGTCCGATTTCAATAATTCTTTTTTTGTTAGGAAGGATCTACTTCAGGGGTGGTCCCATATAAATTTGGTAAAAAATATAATAATTGGATCCATGAGAAAATCCTCAATCTCTTCATTTTTTATATATGTTTAGCGATAATGCTTTACCACCTTGTTCGATTTATATGATTTTTTTTTGTTAGCATGGGGGTACCTCAGGGGTGGTCCCATATAAATTTGGTTAAGATGTGGTGATGGCATCTGCACGTTTTTGAAGTTGGTTTTTTAAATTTTTAATTTCTAATACTTGTAAAAAACCGACTTTAAAATCTTGCAGGTACCATGACTAGATCTTGACTAAATTTATATGGGACCACCCCTAAGATAGCCCCTTTCTAACAATAAAAGAATCATAGAAATCGGACAAAGTGCTAAACAATTATCGCTGAACAACATAAAGATTGAAGAGTTTGAGGATTTTCTCATGGACCCAATTATTAGAACTTGACCAAATTTATATGGGACCTCCCCTGAAGTACCCCCATTCTAACAAAAAAATAATCATTAAAATCTGACAACGTTTTAAAGAATTATCGTTGAACGTACATACAAAATAAAGAGTTTGAGGATTTTCTCATGGACCCAATTATTGGATCTTGATTAAATTTATATGGGACCACCCTTAAAGTACACCCTATCTAACAAAGAATTATTAAAATCGAATAACGTGACAAACAATTATCGCTGAACATACACAAAACAAATATTGCGACGAATTGAGAACCTCCTCATTTATTTGAAGGCGATTAAAAATAAATAAACACTAAAATTTTAAAATAAATAATGAAGGAAAAATAGAAAATCTTAAAGACCGTGTCATACAAACAACAAGCGGCAATTTTCCCCTTGAAAACAACTACTTCCTTGGCTAATACAACAAAAGACATTGCATTATATCATTATATTATTTTGTATCTCTGCTATTGACCTTTTGATATAATGCAATTCCTGTTGCGGTATTAGCCAAGGGAACAGTTGTTTTCATAGTCGCTCGTTTTTTGTGTGACATGGTTTTTGAGATTATCTCTTTTTCCTTCATTATTGTTTTTTAAATTGGTTACATTTGAGAATACCTTTACTAAAATTTGAATAATAAAGATTCAAGAACTAGTTTTTATATTAATTGTTTAAAATGTGCTTTATCTACTTCCTAGCAGTACCACATCCTATTATTAAAGGGGACTCGTTCAAATGTGCCAGGAGAAGTTGTCCTACATTCTTAAACAATTCGTTGTTTTAAAACCTCAATACTGTCAGGTGCTGTAGCGTAAAACTTACATTAAAGGGATCCTTCAGAAAAAATCTAAAGGTGTTAGGTCCGAGGACGGAGCTGGACATTCTATTGGACCGCATCAAGTAGAGAAACTTACAATACTTTATGTTTACCCTCCAAATTTCATCAGTATCACCGTTCAAAAGAAAAGAGGGGGAAGGGGATTTTTAAGAAACACTACATAAAAATTAAAAGCAATTTACAACTAACCCAATTTTTAAAAATTTGGTACGTGAAATCAATTTTCCACCATAATAAAATTAGAAAAGTGGATATATAAAATTTTTTTAGGCGACTGTTATAAAAAATGATATTTTACGGATTTATTAACATCCCTAAAGTGTTGGCTACATTTACTTTACGGCCACTTTTTATAAACATTATGGATTTTTATTCGATCAATAATTAAAATTTAAAACAATTCTTGCATTTAAGCCTCTTTTTAAAAACAAGAATGTAAAACAAAATATTGGCTCTACTTAATGAGATGTGTGGTGATTTCAATATCTTTTTAGTTTTACTCTGTGTGATATTAATTTTAACTTTGATGACTAATCGAAAAACGGTTGTCAGTAATAAAAATAACGAAAATCTATAAATTGTATGATTACTACAAAATAGCTTTAATTTTTTTTTATTTGTAGGTTTAATTCCTTCTTGAGAAACTAAATTACCAAGAAAATTTATTAGAATTTCATATTTTTCTAGTCTTGTATATAATTTTGTAAGGTAAATCTTTTGTTAACTTTTATTTTCCAAAGCTAAAGCTGCCAAAAAATCATCCATATAAGGAAAACAAAATTCTAAGTCTCTAGTTATTTGATGGATATCTTTGGCATGTTTGGGCTTGCATTTCTTAACTCAAATGGCATTTTGAGGTATTCAAAAAGTCCAAAAGGTTTAATTATTGCTTATTGATGGAAAGCCTTGGTCAGATCTATTTTTGAAAATGTTTTATTATTTTTAAGGTGGAACGTAAAATCTTAATATTTGGAATCTGATAGCGATCAGGTACAGTTTTAATGTTTAAAATACGGTAATCTCCACACGCTCTTCATTCACCATTTGGTTTTCTAACCATATGTAATGGACTAGCCCACGTGCTTTTTGATGGGCGAATTATTTTAGCTACTAAAATACTGCTGAATTCTTTTTTTGAATCTACTAATTTTTCCGGATTTAATCTACGGGCCTTGCAGTGTAGTGGAGGCCCTTTCGTAATTATTTGATGTGAAACATCTGCCATTTCATCTTTTTTATCATTAATAGAATTTAACAGGTTAGGTAACTACATTAACATTTTTAAATATGGTGAAATCTTATTTATTGGAGTTATTTTAGTACATTTTCTAACTTTGGTCACTTAACAATTCGTCCAAATATCTCTGCTAATATCACAAATTCTTTTGTTTGCTAGATCGTAAGAAATCTGCTCCGATTATGGCCTTATCAATATTCGCTAATACAAATGTCCAGGTATAGTTTTTTCCAAGTCCTAAATCTACCGTTAAAGTTTTTTCTCCAAAAGTAGTTATAGGTGAGCCGTTTACTGCATATAAAATTTTATTTGAAGGTCTATCAGCATAACTTTGTTTCGGTAGAGTAGATATATCGGCATCCATATCAATTAAATAATCAATTTTATTGATATCCTTAATAAATAGACGACATTCTCTAGTTTCGCCAAGATCGTTCGCCGCCATTAACGATTGGCTGTTTCGTTTACCGTTTCAAATGAACAGGGTGGCTCACACTTAAAAGATTTAATCCAAAATCTTCGGTGGTAGTGACATATTGAATTGCTTTTGCTATAAGAGGGTGACGAATTTCTTGATTTCGATCTGAACTTACGTTTTCTAGGACGTGGGCTAAATTCCCGTTCCCCAGATCTATTTCGGCTTCAGGATGCTTCATTCATTTTCTTGATTAATTCTTTAAATTTACTTTCGTTTGATGACATTTCAGGGGAGTTTACCGTTCAAATTTGTTCTGGTATAGCAGACGATTTCATCATTCCATCTGCCACATTGATTAATTCTTCATCTAATAATTTTGATTTAAATGCTCGAATAACTTGTTCCACAGCTATTGGTTGCTTTTTAAGTCAAGCTAGTACAATACAGTTTATAGACATTTATCCAAAGACTAAATCTGTAATTTTTCTATAAAGTTGACTGGATTTCATGTCGCCCAAACACTCTTCGAATAATTTCGTAATTTTGTCTTCATCAGTGATTTCATAGTTCTTATTAATTGCGATTTGAGAATAGAGTAAGCATTAAGTGATTCTTGATTTTTAAACAGATTAGAATGTTCTTTAACAATAGAACAATCCAATGCTGATAATACTTTTCCAAATTGAATTGTTTCTGAATAAATTTTATTTATTTTAAAAATTGTTTCTATTGTGTTAAACCATAACTCTGGTTCATGTTTCCAAAAGGTAAGCAAAGAAACGGATTTAGCACGATGGAACTCACTCATTTTTTATTGTTATTTCTTCCTGAATGGATGTACATTTTACATTATCACCATTGTTAGTTGGAGGTAAGTTAGTTGGAGCTGTGTTATAATTTGCGGACTTAATAATTAGACTTTATTATAATTTATTAAAACATTCATTACTAGCTTCCATGATCAACATTAAACGATTGCATACATTTTGTAAATTTTGTATTTTATTTTCTAATATTTTTGTTTCTAAATCCTTAATTGCTGTTAGTTCTAACTTTTTCAAAAGTTCTGTGAAGTCGTAATCGAAAGTATTAATCTTATTTTCATCATACTTTTTTTACTATTTCTCCTTCTAACGTTATTTTCATATCCGAAGCAGTCCCATATGGTGTAATTCCAAAGTGAACAAGTATTTTGCTTACTGCTTCTTTGTCAAACTTCAGCAGACATTTGACGGTTACGTTCGACTTAAAGGAAACAGATTTAAATAAAAATAATAGTATTTAAATGTGATAAAATAACAGAATCTAGATCAGACATCGCTCCCCGATCCCTGACACAGATCAAAAGAATAATATCTGCTCATATCAGTTTATTCAATAATTGTTTATTAAATTAAACATTAATTCTTTGTATTTCGTGTGATAATTATACTGCTAAATAATAATACATATTAAAACATTTATGGAAAAATAAACCAAAAAAATAAATATGGAAATGTTTATAGTTTATAGCTTACTAGTTCGGCTTACTTTTGAGGACGGTTTAAAATCGTTATAATCATGTGCATTTAAATTTACGTGTTCGGGTTTCTCCAAATTTAGTCCTAGGACACTCTAGGATTGACTGTTTTGAAATTCGCGTGCACTTTTTTTATCACCCACCCCTAACCACTACAGAAGAGCGCGAGCGAAGCAAGAGCGCCCGGCCGACATTTCGAAATTCGCGGGCACGCTAGTTTCGAAACGTCAGTCGGGCGCTCCCCGATCCCTAACAAATATAAGAATAAAATAAGTTTATGTTAGCTTAAGCAATATATATTACAAATAGAAATTTTCAAAAGGTACAAATAAACAAGATGAACAACACATTTAAACAGAAAACAATATTTTTGCGATATGTGCAAAGTTAAATTTTTTAGCCTGTCTTTCGCACTTTTTCCATAGATTTCTTTTCACATAAAAGTGTCGATGAATTCCGGTAAAAATTTAGAATTCATGACACCAAGTTGTCTAAGATATCGTTTTAAGCATGACCAATAACCCTCCACATGGTTCATACAGACACCTGTCTCAGGATTTCGAAAATATTTTGATTGCTTAACGGTTTTATGGATATAACCAATATTTTTCAATTGGTTATATCCGTTCCATTGATCAGTCCAAATTTCAGATCCTAGACTAACAATGCGGTGGATTATTGGTATCAAAGTTGCTTGTTTTCGATTTTTTACATAGATAACATAACTTTTTTCTGTGTAGTGTTATAAATTCCGAGAACCCATTTTTCCAGAATATACCGACCACGGTTATATTTTCGTTTAGTGATGACCGATTCATCAATCTGTACAACGTGTCCGATTCATCCTGAAAAGGAACATGCTTATGCATTATATAAATATATTAATAAACTCATAAAAATTACCTAAAATAAACTGATCATTTTCATTGATCAGTTTCCAACTAATAATATCTCGTATGTATCTATATTGCTGTACAACTCATTCTTTGGTTTTTCCCAACATTTCTGCCGTAGAAACTACCCTAAGTTGACATGCCCAGCACCAAAACAATAAAATTATGTTTCTCATGGAAATTTTCATGTTCTCAAAGTATGTACTATTAAATAGACAATAGTCAGCTTTACATTTTTGGCAATAAAAAACTGTATTTAAATTGTTTGCTCCTTCTTTCTGCCGTGTCTTGCAAACTCTTCTGCAAGATCTTGTCTTGCATCGAAAATTTGATTTTAATAAATTTATCTCTTGTAAATATTTTACCAACTCAGCATCACTTTTATTTATTATGCGATTTATACCGTTAATACTGTTTACTTCCATAATTTATTTTATTATCAATTAAACAATACTTAAATGATTCGAAACCAAATTCAAATTGACATTCATAAATATTAAACAAAATGTTCTAGAATAAAATAAATGAACATCTAAACTGTTAATACCAAACTACTTAATTTTTAAATATTGCGGGTAACGGCAGAAACATTCAAGGTAATCTAAAAGGGAAATGTCAAATAATAAGTTGTAGTTTAAATTTAATGAAATGCGTGTTTTCGTACTTTTAAGAAGTATTTAATTAAAATATATAATTAATATATATATTTATTTTCGTATTTTAGCACCTAAAGTGAGTTAAAATCAGTATTAAAATTAGTATTATATAAATCAAAGACAAATTGAAATTGGCCAAATTTAGTGTGTCCAGTAAGTCGAATGTAACCCATTTGACCATGCTTATTGTGTAGTATTTTTCCAGTCGGGGTCTCCAATTGTAGTAATCATACAATTTAAAGATTTTCGTAATTTTTATTACTGACAAGCGTTTTTTGTTATTAATCAAAGTGAAAAACAATGTCCTACAGAGTAATATTAAAAAGATATTAAAATCACCACAGCCATCTAAAAAAATGTTGTATGCATCTAGGCCGTATGATCTTTTTTAGCCTAACTAGTTGCAGTTGCTTGGCCTCGACCAAAAATTTCTGATGCGGACAAAAAAGGGCAACTTTAAGGCCTTGGTACACAAATAATTATTAAATAAATATAACAACTTATCATCAAGCCTTTAATATCTAAGCGAGAATTTCTGTTCGTCCTGTATATTTTTATTTCTATAGATTTTAAAAGTGCCACGACCAATAATCATAACCATTTATTGTCATGCCCCTTTGATATTGTTACTTACTGGATTATTACCTTCAATGTATCTGCTTTCAGGCCCTGCCATGGCAGCGAACCTCTCAAAAAGTACATAAACATGTGTCCCAATGCTTCTAAATCATCCCGGCGGGACTGTTCTCGACCCAGATGGGTGTTTATGCTCATGTAGCGGGCTGTACCAGTCAACGATTTATGTTCTCTACAACGCAAGGTTTAAATTACTCGTTGACAGACCAAGGGAAAAATTAAAGGGCAGAATATATAGCAGAGGAAACGTTTAATTTATATATCAATGACTAATCCTAAGCATGCTCTTGCCATGATACAATTCGAAAGGTAGGAAAACCCATATCAAATGAATGAACTAATTAAATATAGATGCATCAAATATAAAAAGAATTTTTAACATTCATATTATATCTACCACTCTCTAAGCTTCTTAGAAATATTACCCTTCACCTAGGAATAATCATAATTTCAGGATTCTTTTATGCATGGTTTTGTCGAGGAGTCTAAATCGAATACATCTTTACGTACCTGTAAGGAATGTGTTTTCCAATATCTGGATCGATATATTCCTTAGCCAATCCAAAATCAATTATATGTATTATCTTATCCTTTCTGTTTTTCGAACGGCCTATCAGAAAATTTTCTGGTTTTATATCACGAAAAATTAACCTTTTATTATGAACATACTCCAATCTCGATATTAACTGATCGGCAATCATTAAAACGGTCTTTAACCTAAACCTCCTGCTACATAGTGAAAATAAATCTTCCAAACTAGGACCAAGTAATTCCATAACAAGTGCATTGTACCTTCCACCGCAGGTACCTAAGTGATATATTTTTGGGATACCTAAAATATGAGTAATATTCTTATTTACATATAAAATATTGCCTTGATTTATAGTTTATTGTTTTCAAATATTTAACGAGTTTCGCATGTAGTTATATAATCAAAGAATAAGTATAAGAGACATAAATTATAAAAACATTTCACTCTACCATCACATGTTAATTTATCGTAGGTAATATCAGAGTCTTCCAAATTTAATCGATTTAATTTTAAGTTTGATCGACCTACCGCTAGATTACAAATAAAAAGTTCTGTCATTGACGGAATGCGCTAGTTCAGTGTGATGTCATTTTGGTTCCACTGACATTTAATTCTAACCAAACTTTTAACAAAAACATCAATAGATTTGACATATACGTTTTTACTGTCTTTTTTTTAATTTCAAAATATTGTTTACAGGTCATAAAAAATAGTTTAAAGGTAAGTAATTGGTAACTAAACGATTGTATATTTGATACATGATATCTACTTACTTTAGGAATATATTTATAAAAGTGAAAAAAACGATATAATTTAGGTAAACAAAACGAACAAAACACACTCAAAAAATCTACTGTCACTTTAATTGTCAGTGGAACCATAATTACATCATCACTGAACTAGCGCATTAGACTATGTTTCACGAGAGAAGAACCTAACTGAAGTTGCAATAATGACAGTGGCAGAAACCAATTTATGTCTTTTTTACCTACGTCGCTTAGTAACGACAGGGTCACGCCACTGGCGTAGAACGAACATTTGTATGTCAATAATAATTTATTTGTAAGCGACGTTAGCGTTTGACATTTAAGGTTGTGTTTTTGGAATCATTTATTTGTTAAATATATTTGATTTTCGACGTTTATACACGAGTGTTGTGTGTTTTAACCTAAAACCATGCCTCCTAAAAAACTTGTTGGTTTAAAATAAAAAATTGTGCATAATCAAGATCGGCAGATTATAAAAATGTTGCAAGCAGAAGCTGAAGAAAAAATATCAAATTCCTTTACAAAATCATCGGTAAGTAGAATAAAAAAGTATAATATCTATGTATAATAATGTAATTTATTATTCCTAACTAGATCAGTCAGAATTTACATGAATTCCTTGGCGAATTTATAAAGTCTTTAGAAAAGTAGTATTCTAATTTAACCCATTAGTTCCCAAGGTTATCAAATTAAACTAATTTGATGTTTTTACTGCATTTTATAACTACACATACACTTATATAAATGTTTATAATATAAAAAAAAAATGTGTTTTATTTTTTTTACAACAAAATGTTGCGTATACGCAACGTTGGGATTTACGGAAATTTGAATTTAATTTTTATTATGAAATAGTTCAAAACAGTTTGTGTGAAGATGAACCTGACACTTGGCACACATGTATATAGTGTTGCTTTTGCATTGTCTACATCTTCTTCTTGCTTTATTTTTCTCCTCTATTATCACGTGACCGACATTATCATGTCGAATTTCCATAGGCAACGCACTTTTAGATGGACGTCCATAATTTGTTCTTGGAGAAAAGTTTACTTGGTCACTTGGTCCCGCTATGTCTTCGCCTTGAATGCTAGCTTCTATGCCTGGTTCATCCATTTTCATAAGAGTGACTGCAATGTAGGACTTAAAAGATAACTGTGACATTTTTGATTTGTTTGCTAAATTGTATATTTTCCAAGAATTGACAATAACACTGTCAATAAAATTTACAAAAAGGGGCCACCACCATTTTTTCCCTTTTACATTGATTCGGTAATTACATATTCCATTGTCATGCAAATCAACACCTCCCATGTGTTGATTATACTCGGCTATAACTTTCGGCTGAGGAATTGAAACAGTCTTTTTTTTCTTTTCTGTTGTACCTTTTTGCACCTACTAAAGGTTCAATGGTGCAGTTATTGGTTGTCACAGTCACTACAGAATTATCGTTCCACCTAACTAATAATATATTTTGATCATTGTTAAAAGAAAAATCATAAGAACCTCGATCTTTTTTCTTCATATTTTTCACAGTTTCCATTGTGTTATTACACGTACGGTTTTCACGTATTGTCCCAGTAGCGTAGAAACCACGTTCTTTCAATAAACAGAATAACTTGTACGAAGAGAAGAAATTGTCAAAAAATACGCGATGATAAGATGGCTGTTGAACAACTGACAATAATTCTAATACAACATTTTCTCCCAGTCCCAATTCGTTTTCATAACCGCTTGTTTTTCCACCATAAGGTATGAATTTGTACAAATAACCATTGGAGCTACATAGACACCATAGTTTGAAGCCGAACCGAATTGGTTTGCCCTTGATGTACATCTTACAACTATGTCGTCCAAAATATGGTACCATTTCCTCATCGATAGATAGATTATGAGAGAAAACTCCAAGCTGCATGTTCTTTTTATTTATCATATCAAAATGAGGTCTTAGTTTTAAAAATCTGTCGCTTTTATCAAGTTTGTCGTTATCTGATAAATGTATGTTCTGCTTTATGGAATCGACTCGGTTTCAACTCATACAATTTCTAACTAACATTACTCCTTTATCCTCATCTTTGGACCAATATAGTTTTGTAGCCGGTAACGTATGATACCCCGAAAACATCAGTATGCCGAAAAATCTCTTTAGGCTAATTTTGTCAATCTCAAATGAATGACGGTTATTATCTTGAGCATATTTTTTTATATAAGAAATTATTTTGTCCCAAACATCGTTACTGAAATACAAAGAAAAAACTTCGAAAGGAGTTTTACCGGCAATTGTATTTTCAATTTGTTCTAAGTTATTTTTCTCTTTAGTCTGTGGTTCTATTGTATATAATGCGTTCTCCTTTGTCCACTTCGGAAGAGTTTTCTTTAGCCTCTTTGCTTTTTTGGAACTAGATGGAAATGATTGATTATTATCAAAGTCTTTAGATGTATCAGGTAAACTTGCATGAATTTCATAGGTCCCTGCAACATCTGGCAAATCCATCTCATTTTCACATACGTCGTCATCAACCACTTCTTCATCTGTAAGTTCATCTACAAGCGGCGGAATATATACGGCATCAACGGTATCAGACTGCAATAAATCTTCGTCCTCCTCCAGTAAAGCTAAGAGCTCAGCAGATGACAGAGGTTTTTGGTTTTTCCAAGACATCACTATAACTAAAGAAATAATTATTTTAGAAAAAAAAAAAAACGTTTAGAAAATATTTAAAATAATACGCACTTTTATTTATTGAGTTCTTACTTCAATCGAATATTTTCAAAAACTACGCGTTACTAATCAAAGCTACTTTTCACTCAAACATATAACTAACCGTTCACTATGAATAATTATACAACACTGACCATATTGTGCTACTGGGCTCTCGAAAGATGACGGCGCAACACACGATGCGTAAACGCAACAATAAAAAACAGCTCAGGTATGCAAAAACTATGAACGCTGTGCTCAAGGTCATGTTAAATTCCTCTTACTAAAGCTCAGGTAAATCTAAATTCATAATTTAGAAAGTCCCATTGTATTCTGAGCTGGACAATTACATCATTTACATCGACGAATATAAATAGGGCAAATGCCCAAATTTTGGCATATTTCGTATACTTACAAAAATTAAACTTCTTGAAAATTTGGAGGTATTTTATAAAAAGAATAATCCTTATTCTGTTGGGATTAATGTTGTCACAAGAAAGAAAGAAAGAAAAGTCATTTCATTTAAAGACATATTTAAAAAAAAATATATTTGATGTTTCGTTTACGCAACGTTGGGGACTAATGGGATACAAATAATTGAATTCTGTTAAAAAGTGTCCGACTTATATGATTTTGCCTGCAAAAAAAATATTTGTTATTTTATGCAATGTCTTGGTATATTTGCAAGACAAGCTTATATAGTGTTACATTTCTTTAATTTGTAAAATATATATCCTGATCGAGTCTTTTTAATATACGAAGCCTCTATTTTCCCTGAAAAAAAAATTAGAATAAATTTTGATAAAACAGATATTTATTACTACCTATACATCATTTTATTGAAATGTAATCTTATTTGTATTTGGAAATAGTTTAATTTCAAACGGTTAACAATTAACTTGTTTAGGGACTAGGAGTATTTCCACAACCATGCAATGTAAATATTGCTGATTTTCAATACCTATATTTTTAAATTGTAGCAAGCGAACTCTAAAAGCAACTTGTGCGAGCAAAATAACTTACACCAGAATTAAAAAGAAAGCTTTAGGTATTGAAAAAGGAGCATCTACTTCCTTTGGATCTCCTTGAAAAAAGAAACCAAGGAAAAATCAGTCCTGGGAGCACTAAAACTTGGAGAACTGGAAAGGATTCTGGAGATCGTTTATGATTTTTACATCCTGGAGAAAAGGGATCATAGTTTAAAACATGAGTTTGATAAAAATAAAATAGTTATTTTTGTATTAAGTGTCTGAAATCTGGTTTTTTATATTGTACCATTGACAGATACTAAAATTATTCACAAGAAACGTCTGTCAGTTCACTTTTAACCGGAAAACATTTTTTAGGCTCCAATTATTTTTAATAATTTTTATAGAAAAATATTTTTTTATTAGAATATAATATATTTTTTTTAGGTAATCTTCACAAAAAAACTATTCTACCTGAATTTACAGGAAGTAAAACTTCTTTATGCAGGCTTCTAAAAAGTATGGGGTTTAAGTAGTAATAGACTAGAATAGACATTGTGACATTTAAAATAATAAGTAACATGCATAAGTATTTAATTAAAAATAATGCCTTAATTGTAGATGGCAGCTCACACAAAATAACAGAAAGATGATTATGGAATCCTATGATATTCGCCTCAAAAGAATTATTTTCTTAGAAAATGTTACTAAATATAAAAATGAAGGCTGGAATATTATATATACTGATGAAATATACATCCACAGCTCACACGTGCATTCTAAAGGATGGTATGATTATCAGGAAAAGGTTTGAAGAAGCCAATCTCAAAAGGAAGGAGACTTGTGATTGTACATGCAGATTGAAGG